CCTCAAGAAGAAACCACAGCCCACCCCAAGGGGAGGATTAGGATACTCTGATGTAGGGTTCAAGGGGCAATGTGGGCCTAGAAGCCACCCCGTGCCGAGGCTGTGCCCATAGCTCTGCTCCCACACCCCCAAACACTTGCCTGGAAATCTCAGCACTGCCAGCATCGAGCTCAGGCGTTCTGCAGAAAGATCTGGAGGGCTCAGGTCGGGGCCAGGCACTTGGCGGAGCTGGGGGGCGAGCAGCATGCCCCCGAGACCGGCCCCCCTGCTCCCCGGGGAGGCTCTGCGACCGCTCACGCACGGCCTCAGCGATGCTGCGGGTCAGCACTGGCACAGCACTGAAGGCAGAGCTGTGCCCAGAACCATCTGGCAGGCGCTGGGACATCCGGCGCTGTCTGTACTTCTCCCAGTTGGGGGGAGGCGGGCGGGGGGGTGGAGGGCCCTTCTTTTTGGGGACATCGGGAGGGTCCAGCTTGGCACGGAGAAGGTCCCTCTGGTCACGGGCCCAGGGACTGGCTGGCTCCAGGTTGAGGTGACTCTCCGAAAAGGCTCTGCCCCGCAGCGGGCGGTGCAGGGGATCGGGGAGGCTCTCAGGGGAGCAGGCCAGGCGGTCGCCATCCCACGACAGGTCATGGGTGGATGTGGCCCGGTAGCAGGGTGGCCACTCTGGCTTGGCACTCTCAAAGCAGGGGTGGAAAGGGCCAAGCCTCGGGAAGCCCAGTTGGTAGTGGGAGAGCTCACTGGGGAGAGAAGGGGGCACCCATCACCCCCATCAGCCCCCAGCAGCTCGTGCCCACCCCTGCTGGCAGGGGACGCCTGGGCTCTCCCAGAGCCCCTGCACTGGGCACAGCCCCTATGCATGCCTCAAGCCCCCTGGGGATGGGTCAGAATCTCCTTGCATCCCTAGGCCCTGCTTGTCCAAGGTGGCATGCACCCCTGCTTGGCAGGGCACAGCACAGCTGTGGCTGGTGCGTTAAGAGAAAAGCTTTGTACATCAGCCAGAATTACAGCAGTCCCCTCACCTCACTAGCCCAGGACCCAGTTGAGTGGCATGCACACCCCAGAATTCTGGTACCCAGTGTGGGCTCACCTGATGGACTGGCTGGCTTTCCTGGTTACTGCTGGTGGTTCCCACTCATCCAGAGGAAATTCCTGCATGGGGGAAAGAGAGGGAGCATGATAGCGGAGCCAGCATCCCCCTCCCCAGCACCCCCTAAATGGTGCCCATTCAGGCACAGTAGGTACTGATGGGCACCACACCCCCCGTCCAGCCCAGGGTCATGTTCCAGGGGTGCAGGCTGGTGCCAGCAGTACTCCCCGGCACAGTCTGGGGGGGCTCACTCACCGGGGCAAAAGCTCTCCGGGGGGGCCAGGCGTCACTCTCCTCCCGCCCAGGGTGGGGGGCTGGGCAGCAGCAGTCAGGGCAGCGTGCCCA